GCTGCCCAGGCTGCCCAGGGGCAGGTCTGGAGCCGACTCATCGCTGTTGTCGCTGCCACCGCCACCTCCATCCTGTGTGGTCTTGGGCAAGTCACTTCCCCTCTCCGAGCCTGGGCTTTCTCATCCGCCAAGGAGCTTAGATGTAGCCCTCTTAAGACATAGAACACAGTGAGATTTGCTGATATGCATGTTGTCTGCAGGGCCTGGTGGCAGCTGTCAGAGCGGACAGCTGGGTGGACAGACTAGGGGCCACTGGGTGGACAGGCCAGGGGGACAAGGAACTGGTGGACAGGCCAGGGGAACAAGGAACTGGGTGGACAGGCCAGGGGGACTAGGAACAGGTGGACAGGCCAGGGGGACTAGGAACTGGTGGACAGGCCAGGGGGACAAGAACTGGAGCCCCTCGGCGAAGCCACTTGGTGGGGAGCAGAGGCAGCCCCAGTGTTATCAGGGAGGCAGCCATGCAGAAATAGGGCAGGGGAGGGGAGAGGAGGGCAGGCCGGCAGGGTGGGCCTGGCTGCAGCATGAGTGGACAGGCTCTGGCCGGGGAGGGTCCGGAGCCAGCCCAGGCTGGGGCCAGGAGGCAGCAGGCTCTCCCCTCACGTTCCTGCAGTAGCCACACCCCTTTCCTGCCCCCTGGTCCCCGACGCTACCCAACACACCTGCGTTTTCCCTGGACTGAGAGAGTCCGGCTGGAAATGCTGCCATGGGGAAGGGGACACCAGCTAAGGGCACCGAAGGCACAGCTGCCCACACCGCGCCCCCAGGGTGCGTGCGCGTGGGGTGAGCTGAGAGAGAACCAGGCTGTGGTGCTGCAGTGAGGATCCGGGGCCTCCAGACAGCAGGGCTCTCACCTGGCCCTGAGTGGCTCCCGTGCCAATGGCCGCAAGGGGCCCGGGGCTGGGGGGATCTTCTCAGAGGCTCAGGAAGAAGCCCCTCCCCAGTCTGCCCAGTCAGGGCCCGGGATGCCTGGTGGAGGCATCTGAGCCCGGATAACCACAAAGCAGGGCACCGCATGGCACCTGAAACAAGCCGGCTTTGTCCGGGCTCTCCTAGGGCGGAGGCTGACGTTTTGGTTACTGGGGCTTTCACTCGCCCGATTTGTATGGGTGAGGAAATTAAGGCAGAGTGACGCAGTGACTTGCCAGGGTCTTACAGCTGGGACAGTTGGGTCTGTTGTTCCTCAGAGGCTCCCACAGGCAGTGGGAGCCACAGAAGGTGGTGGAGCGAGGACATCCTGGCATCCCTCTCCCAGACCAGCTTCACTATGACCCTTCCCCCCCGCAGGGCGGCTATTTCCCTGAGAATGTCAAGGCCATGACCAGCCTGCGATGGAACCGCACCGGCCTCTGCTACCTGCCTGAGGAGCTGGCTGCCCTGCAGAAGCTGGTAAGGGGCTCCAGTCAGGGGCTCTGGGCTTTGTCCCCGTGGGTGGGGCCTGACACTTCAGATGAAACACAGTCACACGACAGCTGGCAGATGGAGTGAGTACCCTGTCCTGGGAGGTCTGCAAGCAGAGGCAGGTCTGTGAGAGAGGGAGGCTGTGGAGGTGAACTGGACTGCATGACCAAGGCCCACCTGGATGGAGGAAAGTTGGGGTGGCAGCTGAGGGCCTGGCCCCCCCCCGGGCCCTCTCCCCCCCCCCACCCCCCCGGCCCGACCTAGGAGCACCTGTCGGTGAGCCACAACCACCTGACCACGCTGCACGGGGAGCTGTCCAGCCTGCCGTCGCTAAGGGTGAGTACTGGCCGAGGCCTCTGCTGTGGGAAGGGGCGGGATGGACTCCAGCCAGGGACCCAAGGGCAGGACTGGGTACCACAGAGGGGCCCTCTTATTTTAAGAGGATGCAGCAGTGTCCCATGTAACGTCACTAGTGTGGATCGGAGAATCCCAGGAGGAAAAAGGTTTTTTTGTTTTTTTGTTATTTTTTGTTTGTTTGTTTGTTTTTTTAAAAAAGCCAAACCCCAGGGCCAGTGGATGGCCTGGTGATTAAGCTCTGGGCTCCCATGGCCGGCTGTGGTCCAAGTCCCAGAACTGGTGGCTTGCTTTCTCACTTTCTCACTCTCTCTCTCTCTGGTGAGCACATGTGCCCTATAGCAAATTTTTAAAAATAAAAATGATAATTAATAAAGTATTTTTAAAAGTAACCCATAAAGATCAGAGAATCCCAGGAGGAAAAGGTAAAAAAATATCCCAAACCTATGGCCAGCAGGTGGTATAATGGTTAAGGTACTGGACTCCCATGTGGTTGACTACGGTTTGAGTCCTGGACCCGGCGGCCTGAAGCTCACACCTGGCTTATGTATGTGCATGCCCAAAATCCCAAGAGGAGAAAGAAGGGATTGTGGCGTGACCATCCCCCCATGGGGTGATTTCTCGCTTTCTGTCTCTGTCTCTCCAGCAAGTACATGTGCCCTATAGCAAAAATCTCTCTCAAAAAAAAAATTCCAAACTCCAGGGCCAGCAGGTGGCGTAGTGGTTAAAGTGCTGGACTCCACGGTCGACACTGGGTCCCATACCCACCATCTTGAAAATCACACCAGCATGTATGTGCCCAAAATCCCACAAGGAGAGTGGAGGAAAGGGATTGCAGCATGCTCTCCCCCTGGAGGGTGGTTTCTCACTTTCCCTTTCTCTGTCTCTGTCTCTCTCTCTGATGAACGCACACACCTTATACAGTAAGTTTTGAAAAAGGGGGGCCAGCAGGTGATGTAGTGGATATGTTGCCGGACTCCCACATGGCAGGCCATAGTTCGAGTCCTGGACCCAGTGGCTTGAAACTCATGCCACATGCATGTGCACGCATACCTGAGATCCCAGGAGAATGAAGGGGAAGGGATTGTGGCATGGCCATCCCCCACAGAGGGCAATTTCTCACTTTCCCTCACTGTCTGTGTCTCTCTCTCCAGCAAGCACACACACCTGAAGGTTAAAAACCTCTTTAAAAACCAAAAAGAAGGAACCAGCAGTTAGCGTAATGGCTATGTCGCTGGACTCCCATGTAGTCGACCGTGGTTCACGTCCCGGACCTGGTGGCTTAAAACTCATGCCGGGCGCGTGTGCATGCGTGCCCAAGATCCCAAGAGGAGAATGGAGGAGAAGGAATTGTGGCGTGGCCATCCCCCCTGGTGGGGGGTGATTTCTCGCTTTCTGTCTCTATGTCTCTCTCTGTCTAGCGAGTGCACGTGCCCTATAGTGAAAACCTCTCAAAAAAAAAGTGCTGACTCAGAGCTGCATCCCTGTCTAGCTTCCTGTGCCAGCAGGTGGCATGGTAGTTAAGGTGCTGAACTCCCTCATGGCCCACTGGTTAGTGTCCCAAATCTGGCAGCTTGAAAAATACACCATGCATATGTGCATGCATGTCCAAAATCCCAGGAGAAGAAGGGATTACAGCATGGCTATCCCCCTTGGGGTGATTTCTCACTTTCCCTCTCTCCCTGCGAGGACACACGCCTACAGCAAAAACCTTAAAAAGAAAAGTAAAGAGAGAAAGAAAAGAAAGAAAAAAAGAAAAGGCTCCCTGAAGGTCCCGTGCTGGGTTCTGGGCCATGTTGAAGTTGGGCTTTGAGGCATAAATAGGAGCTCACCAGAAGAAAGAGCCCATCAGGTAGGGGACTGTGTAAGCAAGGGCAGAGATGAGAGAGTACCAGGCCTGGGCTCCGGTGGGCTTCCTGAAGCAGTGTCCTCTGTGACCTCTTCTCCCTATGGGTGGAAGCGGGGAATCATAGGCTCTTACGTTTCCTCCCCAGGCGATTGTGGCCCGAGCCAACAGTCTAAAGAATTCTGGAGTTCCCGACGACATCTTCAAGCTGGATGACCTCTCGGTCCTGGTCAGTGTCACCCACCCACCTGGCCCCTGTGCTGGCCCACCACTCAGTCCCCACCCACCACGGCCCCAGAATCACTGTTCATTCAGTTTATGGAAAACAGCCTCCCGAGGCCCCGACTTGGCCCGGAAGCCCCCGTCATCCACCACCCACCACCAGCTTAGGGCCTGCCTGATCCCTGAGCCTGCCAGAGGGCTGGCAGGGTGAGGACAACCCTGACCGGGGTCTTGCCCCTCCTCCTCAGGACTTGAGCTACAACCAGCTGACGGAATGCCCGCGGGAGCTGGAGAACGCTAAGAACATGCTAGTGCTCAACCTCAGCCACAACAGGTGTCTGTCTGCCCCGGCAGGGGCGGGGCGGGGCAGGGCGGGACTGGGACCTGGGTCGGGCAGGGCAGGAGGGGCGGGGCGGCCGTGGAGGCGGGGCCAGGGTTGGTTGGGGCAGGACGGGGCGGAGTTGGGGCGGG